TCCGTCACACTCGTGCCCCTCTGGCTCCCTCACCCTCGTGCCCCTCTGGCTCCGTCACACTCGTGCCCCTCTGGCTCCCTCACCCTCGTGCCCCTCTGGCTCCCTCACACTCGTGCCCCTCTGGCTCCCTCACCCTCGTGCCCCTCTGGCTCCCTCACCCTCGTGCCCCTCAGGCTCCCTCACCCTTGTGCCCCTCTTGCTCCCTCACCCTTGTGCCCCTCTGGCTCCCTCATCTTTGTGCCCCTCAGGCTCCCTCACCCTTGTGCCCCTCTTGCTCCCTCACCCTTGTGCCCCTCTTGCTCCCTCACCCTTGTGCCCCTCTGGCTCCCTCACCTTTGCGCCCCTCAGGCTCCCTCACACTTGTGCCCACTTGGTTAACGCTAGGTTTGATGGTGTGTCTATATCCCACCAGGCTAGTGTTTGAACAGCTCCCCTATGGAGACTCTCTCCCCACCCCGAGCTCACTGGGGGTCCCCAGTCCTCCAGACCCTTATGTCAGGCCCACTCAACACCTGTAAGCAGCTGGACAGTGAGGAGTGGGGGGTGTTTTTTTATCATTCCTTTCCACCTATTGGTATTTATCCGTTTTTATGTAGTCTGCAAGCGTAGATGGCAAAGAGGTGAGAGTTTGGTTGCTTAAGGGTGACATCCTGTTTGTTTCACGTAATATTACCACATTATAAATCCACATTTAGTTCTCTGCCTGGTTTCCATTTTTCTTCCAGCGGGAAATAAAAGTCTCATTAAGTGTCATGCAGGTAATGCTGTTCATTTTCCCTGCCAAGGCAGACAGGAAGTACACACGTCACACTCGATTTCCTTCTTTATGTTGTCTGGGTTACATCTGGGTGTCAGTCATGTTAAAATGTCACTTTGATGCACCTCGTTTGGCAGGAAAACAGGACGTGCAAACTGGCCAGTTACTTTTCAACCAGAAGCTCGACCATCTGTTTATGCTCACCTGCAATGCTTCCATGAACAAATTAATAATTAACACTTGAATTTAAAGAATGCTTCCATTCCATCCACTTTCCATAACCCCTCATCTGTGATCTGTAATATCATATAACCAAATTAGAGAGAGACACTTTCCTGCTCTGCTCTTGGGTTTTAATTTATTTATATTGTCTGTATATTTCTAAATAACATTTCTAACATGTTAAATGTCCTGTTTGAAGGTTTTCATTTAGGATCAAAGCTGCTGGAATTTCTGCTTTTAGTTTGCAGCGGCTGGAGTCCTCACTGGTCACTTCCAAACAGCCTTTACAGACATTTAAGAGGGTATTAATCACTTCAATCAGTGTTGTTTCTTGAGACGACGGGACAGAAAATCAGTTTCTGCAAATACCTAAGAGGATAGCGGCAGTTGGGAGTGTGCAGGTAACCCCCCAAGGGGTGGGGCTGGTGTGTCTTTGTTCTGATTGGCCGACAGCAAGCTCTTCTGAATGCTTGTTGTGATTCAAAAATTTTGAGTTGGAAGCACGGGATTGGATGGCTGGGTGCCTTTTGCCCACGTCTGAGGGCTGGAATGTCTTACCTGGAGACAGGCTCTGTCCTCAGGTGCCTTCTCCACTGCCCTGCCTGCATGCTTTATGACTAGCAGTCAGCTTCACCTCGTGGGGATGTACTGATGCCAGCTATTTGTGGTGGTTTAAATTCATATTACCATCGCTTTGTTGAAAGCAAAGAAGTTCCACAAAACCATGTATCTTTTGGAGAATTGTTTAAATATAGTCATAAGTTTGTAAATGTTTGGCAGATTTTTTTTCTTTTAAATTATCCTTTTTTTGAGGTGCATGGGGCTTCTGTGGTTGAGGCTCATGTGACAGCTTTGCCATGGGACTGTATCTCCACATTCTTCTGTTAGATAGGTGCTGGCAGGCCATGCTGGGATTCAGTGAGCATGTGGGGTCATTGACAGCCTGCTTGTGCACCTGGGGGGGTGTTTGGGGCTTTGTCCTCTGGCTGGGCTGAACTGAGCAGGATGGGACGGGACACCTGCTAAATATTTCCTTTTCATACTTCTCAGGTGTTGTACAGATACCAAATAAATCCAGGACTTTTTTTGATATTAGGACATGTCAGACCAACAGCATCATTTCAGGTGGCAAGCTGTGCTTATGACTGATTAATTTATCTCCCTGGAGACCTGGAGCTGAAGAGCATGCCTGCTGTCCAGAGTGATCCATGTAGTGGTTCACATTCCGGAGGCTTTGGCCACTTTAGCGGAGCTGGCAGTGCGTGCGTGACGTGCCATTTCCCCGCACCTCTGTCCCCAGACCACCCTGAGGGAGGCTCATGTTCATAAAGGGCTCCCATGTCAGGCCATCTCTCTCTGTTGTTCCTGAGCAGTGGGCTTTGTTATTTGGGGATTAGTCAGGACTTCCCAGCATTGTTGTGCCCTATTTCCTGTCAAGCCCAGTGTCCTAACTCAAGTACAGTAGTAATCATTTAAGTTGGCAGATTAGTAATGGATGACCTTGGTGTCATGGCAGTAGTAGTGAGGGTAAACTTCCTGTCAGGCAGGTTAAATGGGGGGTGGGGGGTTCTGTATAGCTGGATATATAGTGAGGACACCCCCCGAGAGTGACATCGAAACTTCCATGTGTGGTTTGGGTTTTCCATGGAAAGTGTCAACAGGTTCAAGCTGCCTGCTCTGGCAATAAAGTAGGTTATTTACCTGCATCAAAAGTACGTGTGAACCGCGGGGTGCCACAAGCAGCCAGAGGTTCTTGCTGACCGATTGATTAGATGATCTAAACAGACCACGGTAATAACTTCTGATGTCCTGATGGTTTTGGAGAACTTCAGGCATTCTGGTATGACAACAACCATGTTCTGCAGAATGCCCAACACATGCGGAAGGAATTCCAGTTAGCAGAGCCTGACATTTTAAGATTTCATTTATTTCTGAGGTGGCTCTTCAGGGCTTGTCCTTTTAGGTGCGCAATTGCGCGTGCACGCCATCACGCGCCTAAAATGGTGAAGAGCTGCGCAAAGAAACGCGCGCCTATCAATAAAAAAGAATGAAATTGTACGCGCCTCATAATTTGTCACGTGACCACTCGACGCTCCACGGAATTATTCATGACAACAATGGCGTCGAAAAAAAGCATGGATAGCAAGAGTCATCCGTGTCAGAATGCAACGTTTTTGGGGAGGGGAGGGATATGATTGTTGTTAAATAATTAATTCATAACGAATTAATTAATTCTAGCCTACCATTTCCACTACCTGACCCGCATGGTCTTTGTTTTACCCATAACCAAACCATAAATAAATAAAGATAAGTTACACACAAATTACCACCTGTCAATCACTTTTTCCGCGGGACTCTGGCATGAATAGGCACAGTGATCTGTGTCGTTATAATGGCGTCGACAAACTTGGTTAATAAAAAAGGTGCAAATTCACCTTTCTGGCAATACTTTGGCTTTAGACCGAAGTATTGACCACGAGATACGTCTGAAGTGGTGTGTAGGATTTGCGGTCAAGTTATCCGCGCAAAAGATGCGCAGACGTTCTGTTCGTTATGGTAAAACCATGAAAAAGGCATATTTGGTGTAGTTTATTTAATCTAATTTAATTACAATTATTTTGATTTTTTTTCCTGCTGTTTCTGTATGCCTCATTTATTAATGTAAACGAACTAGTTCGTGTAATTCGTTTGGAGTTCACTGTAATTTGTATTGTGATCGCTAACAACTTCCTTGTTATTATTCCCTCATAAAAATAATAATAAAATAAGTAAAGATGCTGAAATTGAAAGCATGCATTTAATTTGGCTATATAGTGTGATTAAGTGTGTGTTTTTCGTATTGATGCAAAAAATACTGAATTCTGAATTGCAAATTTTATTCACCAATAAAAAGTGATTCACTTTAAATGGGTTTCTACAAAATATGTTAAAGCATTAAAACTAGGACAAAATTCTCAACTAGGACTACAAAAAACAGAAATATGTACAAATACAAGTACATTTTGACCCATTGCACCAAAGTCCAACCACATTTTAGGCGCACAAAAAAGGTAAAATTGTGCACCTAGCACTTTTAGGGTGCACAAAAAAAATTGTGCACCTAGCACTTTTTAGGTGCACAAATTTGTGTGCGCCTGCATTTTTCAAAGGACAAGCCCTGGCTCTTGGAGTGTGAAATGACTATTATTATTACTGCCGGGACCTCTTTGAGGTATCTGTACTCTGGTGATACTTTGAACTGCAGTGACCAGTGTGGCAACCGCAGCAGAAAAACCCAGTGGGCACCCCGCTTCCACAGCAGGCAGATGTTTCTCAGGAAATTGCAGTGTAGATATTCCCTCAGAGGCAGGAAACGTTCCTCACTGCCAGACTGCAGGCCCCACCTCCATCCAGATATCCCTGTAGCTTTGCTTTCTGTTTTAAGATGAGTTCATGGGAGTCACTTCATGTTACTCAATTACTGTAGAGTGAAAATGGTGTGTTGCCTGTATTTTTAACTTTTAATTGAATTGAAAGTTTATTTGCCATTTTCACAGGTACAGAAGTACAAGTACATTGGAATTCTTAAACAGTTCCCTCGTTCAATATTTTAAAACAATAAGCAAAACTATTCTGATATCAGTAAAAAATGATAAAATAGATAATAGAGAAACAAGGTGCTTAATTGATAGATAAAGAAGGTGCTTTCAGTGTCAGAGGTCATTCGGAGGAGGTAACTTAAGAGTCTTGAGTCCAGGTTGGGAATGGTGGTACTGAGGTAATTTCGCTGGTTGGTTGGTTAGTTGGTCGATTGGTTATTGTGAGCTGGTTAGAGTCTTTATAGCTGAGAGATTATGGCGTCTTCCAGTTTGCTGGTGATGATCACCTGTTGTAGACCTGGGTACATTTGAGGAGGTGGTTTGTGTTTCAGATGTTATGACTTCCTCCTAACGTGATATCTGCTGATGTTCTGCCCGCTCTCTGGGCCTCGTGTGGCCCGTGGACCTCGCTGTGTCTTACCGAGCTCCCTTTCCCCTTCTAGATGGGCTGCACCGCGTCATGGCGCTGTGCACACTGCGCGTCACCATCATCACCGACGACATGTTGACCAGCAGCATCACGGTCCGCCTGGAACACATGTCACAGGAGCGCTTCCTGTCGCCGCTGCTGGCACTCTTCACGGAGGGCGTGGCCGCCGTGCTGTCCATCAGCCGCCACGACGTCTTCGTCTTTAACATCCAGAATGACACAGACACCCGTGGCGGTGTGGTCAACGTCACCTTCTCGGCGCTGCGGCCCGGCTCCGGCCCGGCCCGCTACATCCCGTCGGAGGAGCTGCAGGAGCAGGTGTACCTGAACCGTACGCTGCTGCGTCTGGTGTCCGGCCAGGACGTGCTGCCCTTCGACGACAACATCTGCCTGCGCGAGCCGTGCGAGAACTACATGAAGTGCGTGTCGGTGCTGCGCTTCGACAGCTCGGCGCCCTTCATCGCCTCCGACACCGTGCTCTTCCGGCCCATCCACCCCATCAACGGCCTCCGCTGCCGCTGCCCGCACGGCTTCACCGGCACCTACTGCGAGACCGAGATCGACCTGTGCTACTCCGGGCCCTGCCGCAACAACGGGCGCTGCCGCAGCTGCGAGGGCGGCTACACCTGCGAGTGCCTCGAGGACTTCACAGGTGAGGCTCCCCATTGCTGGGACAACGGCAAGATCCTCAACCGCGGCCTAAACAGAAACTTCAGCACCGGTGTGAAACACTTACACCTGACTGGCAGATCCTTTAATGCAGGGCTGCCAACTTTGGTCAGCTGGCTGGCATGAGATTTTCAATCCGAGACACACACATGCACACGTATTTACACGTATGTTACAGTCGTATTACCTTCTAAATAGGCTGTAGGGTTTGCAAATGACTCCAACGCTTTTGATGTAGCTAATTTTAGATTTATAATAGAAAAATAAGATAAGTAAGATTTCTTCTTGCCTGAGAGTCTGAAAGCGTGAGAGTCACGCCAGATATGTGAGAGTTGGCAACCCTGTTTAAAGTACATTTAATGGGAAAATAAGACTGGAGATTCAAAACATGGTACCACAGAGGAAAAAATGTAAAATTCTAATATTGCTAAATAAGCTTTTTGCGCTGAAGGAAAGTCTTTAAAAACATATCTTTCTGTCTATGAAGATCAGGAAAAAATGCTTCGTTTTGCAGTGGTGTTGAAAGCATGGTGTTATGTACCTGAGAGGTGGGTGGCTCAGTTTGCATGTTCACTGTGTATCGCTCAGGATCCCGCCATCTACTCTGGTTCCCGTCTGAATCGTCTGCAGGGGGTGTGTGACCTGTGATGGATCGCTGCCCCCCCTGCCTTCTGCCCCGTCCTGCTGCTAATTTGTTCCCCTATTACTCTGCTTAGGATAAGTAGTTGAAAGAAGGATGGATGTCATTTACCTGCTGCCTCCTAAATAGCAAGCATTGCACTTTTCTAATTCACCCAACACTCCATCCATCTGTTTTCCAAATGATCTTCTTCAGTAAACAGTGCCTTATGGTTATCCTGTCCAATTTAACGGGTTGATTAGTAATCGTGTTTTGCTTTGCTGTGAGGAATACTCTTGAATATGAAGCACGGACTCGTAAGTGTGTCGTCTGCACAAAGAAAGGCCTGTCAGATTAAGGCTGGCTGCCGATGGGCCCCATTTTGCCCTTAATGTCCTTTATTGAGGGATCACACAACGGCATGAAGTGTCAGGTTTCTATAACCAAGTAGACAGCGGGGCGCAGATGGACCGTGAGCCCGTCAGGACTCTCCATCTGCGCCTACAAAGCTGCCCATTAGCTTGGAGTCATTACTTGGAGACTCGATGAAATGTTTTTCCACAAAGGCCATTATCTCGCCAGCACTGTGGTCATTACCAGCCCGCTGATGTCCTGCATCCCATTAGCCTTCACTACCCTGCCAGTGCATCTTCAGAATTCACTGGTGAATGAGGAACCGATATGTGTCTGCCGTTGTCGGAGAATGTGGAAACAGGTTTGGTCAGTGTGTCGCTGGTGTTGATGTTCGCACGCAGTTCACACTCGGTCATCCTGTCAATCAAAGTCAAAGAATGACTTCGCTAGACCTCAACAACCTATGGAACCTTCCCAAAAGATTTCCAAAAATCTGGGAACTCATTATAATCAGCCTTGAAATATTCAGTCATAACCAAGGGACCTAGTTAAACAATTACTGGCATACTTTTTAGTGAAATTTCAGTGAGATGTCAGGGTAAATGTAAGATAGAGTTAACAGAACCAGGATTAGGCTTATGCCCTGAGAGATGGTCACTGTTAGCTTCACAGTGATATCATACACAAAAGGGCTGAATCTGAGTCTGTTCAAAGATGGTGCAGTACAACTGGGTTTTTGATTTGTCCTTTTTGATTTGCTTGTTGATCCTTTGCTCCATAGTTAATTGGTGATATTATGGTTGATAAGATGTGTTAACAGGAATGTGGTCAGACTCTGCCGTGTTGGAAAAATGCAAAGTCATGTGACATCCCCCCCCCCCCCCCCAGGCGAGCATTGCGAGGTGGACGCCCGCTCTGGCCGCTGTGTGCCCGGTGTGTGCAAGAATGGCGGCAGGTGTGTCGACCTGCTGGTGGGGGGGTTCATGTGCCAGTGCCCCCCGGGGGAGTACGAGAGGCCGTACTGTGAGATGACCACCCGCAGCTTCCCGGGACAGTCCTTCGTCACCTTCCGGGGCCTGAAGCAGAGGTTCCACTTCACCGTGTCCTTTATGTGAGGTCCCCGCTTTGTCCCCCTGTACCTGGTATCTGTCATGTGACCACCCTTATCTGTCATGTGACAGCCCTTATTTGTCATGTGACCACCCAGTCACCCTGTCATACTTCTGTAGCACAATCATGCTGATCTTTAACGTTTCTCCCCATTTGAATGTGCAAAGTAGCTTCAAAGCATTCTGGAACATTGTAGGTTTTTTATAACTCACATAATTCATATCCCTGATTTTTTCTTTTCAACGGCTTTCTCATACTTTTAAAGTGTTACCCCCCTCCCCCTTGAAAGTCAGCTCCTGTCTGGCCAGCATCCTTTCCAGGAAGACACCCCCACATTGTGACTGATGTGACACCATGCTTGCATGCTCGCAGGTTTGCCACGCGCGAGAGGAACGGCCTGCTGCTCTATAACGGGAGATTTAACGAGAAGCATGACTTCATCGCCCTGGAGATCGTGGAAGAGCAGGTGCAGCTGACCTTCTCTGCAGGTGAGGTCCTGTGGGGGTCACCAGAGCAGACGAGAGACAGGAGAGACTCTGTGAGTCGTGATGACTCCTTGCATACGTGTTTGCTGCATGTTACCCCATTTGGGGGGCAAACTGGGATTGACCTATTGGACATATGTAAATTATTTCAATGTCAATTTATTTTTTATATAGCGCCTTTCACAACAAGGTCGCCCTAAGGCACTTGATGAGAGTGTGTGGCAAACATGGTTGCCTTGCTGTACTACTGTTTGCTCAGAATGACAGGGAGTTTAGACCTGTTGGGCTCCTGCCTTCGGTAAATATTCCCTAAATCCGCTGCAAATTTTTATCCGTTATCTCCAACAATGTCTCGCTTATTAGTGCTGTGTGATGAAATCTGAGCAGCTGAGCAGGTTAGTGAGCTTGGCTCTGATTTTAGCCCCATTCATCAGCTTGTTATCCTCAAAGACGGTCACTGTTGGCCATGAACCGCCAAGCCACAGTGTATATCTCTGTGGGCCTTGTTCATTTGTTGTCTGTCTTTCCCTGACTTTCCCTGAAGGTGTGTTTAGGGGAAGATCTGAGGCTTCATTCCACTCCACTCGTTTCCCATCCGGTTTCAGTCTCTGTTTCTCTACTTTCCAGGAGAGGCTAAGACAGTTGTGACGCCATTCATAGCGGGTGGCGTCAGCGACGGACAGTGGCATTCCATCCAGTTGCACTACTACAACAAGGTAAGCGAGAGCTCCGGGTTAGCCTTAAACAGGCCGCCGTGGTCTGTCACAGTCATGGACCGCGAAGCCGCAGATGTCAGTGCTCCTGCACCTCTGGGAAAAGCACAGCTGCCAACTTTGGTCAACTGGCTGGAGTGAAATTTTCAATTTGCGACGAGTCTGCACACACATGCACACGCATTTACATGTACGTTGGAGTTCTGTTACCTTGTAAATAGTCTGTAGGGTTTGGAAACTACCGTAACGCTTTTCACGTAACTAATTTTAAGGAATAATATAGATTTGCCGTATAATTTCTTGCGTGAGAGTCTGAACGCGTGAAAATATTCTGGTGAGCTACCAAATCTCGATGGTACTTTTCACTGACTGGGGGGGAATACTTGGCAGGGGGGAATGTAAGTTGTATCATAACCATCGAAAAATGTCTTTGTGACTGTTGATCACGATCGATTCAATGGGCATATGTAGGTTAAAGTTAAAGTTACGTGTTTGAGAAATTAGCTGCTCACCAGATACTCAGCCAGTAATGAACATTCCGGAAGCCCCCTGCCACACCCCGGTCCCCAAAATCCACCAAAGGGGAAGGTTAAAGCGCCCATTCCAAGTTATCTG